GTTCTTAGCCAAGGTAGCTCGGGCATGGGCCGCCACGCGATGCACTGGATTAATTGGATTAACCTGAATGTCAACATCGGATTATATATAACCCGGCCACCCAAAGCTCTGCAATTGTTGCGAACTAAACTAGATCGCTAATATCTTAAACATTCTTAAACAGCAACACACCCTGAATAATCTGGCAATCTGGGTTGCCCCAAACTAATCTCTTCATGGGAGGGATCACCAAAAACATAGGGCAGGGATCATAAGATGAGAACATTAGGACAGGGGCCAGCAAACATGGTGGCATTCCCTGCAATCTGAGGGAGATATAATTGCGTCGCATTCCAAAATTATTCAGGAGACATATGGATCAAACCATTAGGAGAAGGCCTTTCCAAGGGAAGTCAGCCTTGCCAAAAAAAATTGTAACTACTAGGAGGTATTTAATGGTATTTATACATAATCTGTTGATGACTCATGACATTACCCCAAAATAAATGGATGCATGCCTCCCCTTCAAGCACACAGCAGGATGCTCGAACAGGCCAATATATTGTGAGCAGACTTGTACCTGACTGACAATTTTTCTTGCAATTCAATTCATGTGCAAGAAAACGTGCAACAAGAAAACATGTGCCAATTCAATCATCATGAGACTCGTTTTCTGCACATGATCAAAAATACGTGCAACATTCGTTGTCAGCTGTCTGCTGTGGGTGATTCTTGTCGCAGGTGTTCTGTCTGTTGCAGCTGGGTGTGTTGGACATTGCACTCGCTCAGTACACTCCTTGAACTCATCATGATTATGTGGAGCTCACCAACTCTTTGGGTATAAGGATGTCATGGTCATGTTTGAAAGGAACCATTGTCCTTTCCAGGTAACCATGATTTTGGTTGGAAGAGTATAATGGTATACAAACGTATACAGTATACCATAGCCTCCTCATCCCCCCTCACTCACTCATATGGATGTGCCGCTTGGCAGCTCAGATTTTTGTTGACACTCACACTCACACTTCTTCTTTCAAGGGTCTCGGCGATTCACCCGGCCGACAACAACACTCTCCAACGCCTCGGTCTGCCGGGGCCTGGGCGATGTTCTGCTTCTTTTTTGGTGACCAAATGAGTAGGTCGGCCGGTGAAGAGAGTCGTAGATTGGTCCTGAAGGTACTGATAACTTGATCAATTCAATGACTGTCTGATGACTAGGAGGACGGAACCAAAACACCATGGATTCATTGAAATCTTCCTTCAACCGGCGTGACACCACGACATGTAGCGTGAGACCGCGCAAGCGGTCAACATCACATCCAATGGGAGGCATGGCACCCCAGTCGTGTAGCTCTTTCATCTAGTACGCTTGATTCATGGACTGGGTGAACTCTGTTGATGGTGATCTTCACATCTCAAACCTTCCTCACCCAATCCGTCCCATGGCCGGTATGCTGTTCACCCGGGGACCCGTATCACGTCCACGCAGAATCGGTCTGTCAGTCTGTCGTTCAGTCCACTCGTTCGGTCTCTGGAGGGGAAGTGAAAACAAAGGAACCTTATGGTAGAAGGGCAAGCAAGACACAGGTGCACCCGAAGCAAAATGCGGGAAATCAATAAGGCCAGTGTTGTCAGTGGTCAGTATGAATACTGGCTTGGCATTCCCACATCCATACCCACTTCGCCCAAATGATAGAACTTCACCACTCCAGAAGCCTCTTTTGAACAGCTCTGCTTTCCAGCTGTGACACGGGGGAGCTCAATCTCAAGAGTGCATGTGCTCCAACTACAGCAAACCTGCGACTGTTCGGGCCGTTCAGGGAACATTGCAGACCTTGCCATCTTGAGGAGTGCCAAGAAAAGAAACCAGCGGAGAGACTCCCTCCAGCGGGTAACGCCCCACTCCTCTACTGTGCCAGTAAAAGGCAGCAACACAAGCCACCCTGAAGCCCCGGCTCCAACCATATCCTCAGCAGGTGGTTAGACCCCCCAAACCCCAACCACGTTCTCAGGAGGTAGTTGGAGCAGTAGGGTATACGGGTATATGGGTGTGTATCTTTAAAGCCGGGAGAGCACCTGGCCCTGGCTGGGTAGACTGGTCTATTTCCTGAACCGAACCCAGGCAGCAGCGGCAGCGACTCCCAGTGGATCCCAGTAATAAGGAACCAGGTTTCAATCGGTCTATGGCTATCGATTTAGCTGGAATTAGTGGTTTCCATTGGTTGCAATATAGGTATAAGTGGTAACCGGATAAACTGGGACAGTCAAAGAGAAAAAAAACACGCACACAGAAACCTGCCCGCGTGACGAGCGGACAATTCCACTGAATAATGTGACCCAGCCTTGAGAAAGTCCAGTGGATGCAGTGGTTATCGAAGCAGGTCATGTTTCTCAAAAACGGAAGCTGGAAACCATGGAATAGGGCAAATCTTAGTTCCACATAATAATTATAGATGGCTGCCTGGGGCTAGAACATCTCACAGGGATTTGCGGCTCTCATCTCCATGAACCGTCCTGCACGTCGGGAGCAGCAGCGATGCAGCCACATGCGGCCACCTTCAAAAGTGGCAACGGCCCAGCCAGCGGCAACTCAGCTGCGGAGAGCACGCCAAGAGCAGCCACAAACACGCCGCCAGGCCTAGAACACGCTCGTCTCATCGACTTTCGACTTTTCCTTGAAACATCACCCCCGATCTCCGCCGAGAAGAATGGAGGCAATGGAATCTCGTTTTCCATTCGCCCCACCAATGGGCGATGCTCACTTGAAGGGGAAGACTTGGAGGGCCTTATTGGGGTCTCCTTGTGGATGATCCAGAAGTGGCGCTGGGAGGCGCGCTACTAGGGGAGTCAAAGGGGACCTAAGTTCTACTTCTTTGATTTGACTCGAATAAGAAAGTGAGCTTCCCAAATCCAACAAGGCATGTATACATGACCGATTCGGGATTGACAATCTGATCTGCCAGGCACCGGGCTAGGCTGCTAGACTGATCGAATGATTTGCTTCACGTCATTTCTCCAGTTCCCCCAATTGCATCCAATTGCTCTGCTGAAATGATCTTTGATCCATACCCACATTGTCAAGAAATAGCCCAAATCTGCGATCCGTTGGGGGCACAAATCATGTGGTAAGCCCTACAGACTCTCCCAAAAGCTCCCGAGCGTGCGGGTGCTCCAACCGATGCCTACAATGGAGTCAAAGATCAAGTAGAGCCTCGACATCCGCTTCAGTCGATATCAAGTTTGAGGATGTCTGATGTGAGGGCTGGGCGATTCTGGGCATAGGGTTTTTAGATGTTTTTAGTACTACCTTCGCCCCGTGAGCGGGGCTCGTTCGACAAACGAACCTGTACAGCAAGGATGCTGCAAGAGGTTGTTGTTTCTTTGTGTTTTCACATGATGTCCAAATGATTGCATCCTCCTCGGGAACCAATATTGAACAAAGCTCTCAACGCAACTCCACATGTTGTGGAGGGGAGATTCTGACCATGTACAGTAAGTGAGTGAGTGTGGCGTAGTCTGCAAATGTCTGCGGCCCAAATACACCGTTCAGGGACCAGGTTGACATCACGTTGATCCAAAACAACATCTGCAAGTCGCTGCCGTGACAAAAAAGAACGTGTCACTGAACGTGTCATTATGTGGAGGTGTTGCGCACACCCATGTAATGGCCCATCTCAGAAGGAAGGCTCTCCTGAAACGTCGGTTTTATGACTCAAATTGGTGAGGTCAACGGGTCGAGGATGTCTAACCATGCCGATGCCCTGGGTATATCGAATGATGGTTCTCTAAAAAGACGCTTTGTCATGCCTTTTGGACAAATGGATACAAACAACTCTCAGCACTCTCAACACTTGCAGCCATGAACAAACACATCGGCGTACAAAAAACTCTCTGCACCAGAAACACCCAAACCCCTCTTTTTCCGGCGAGCTCCTCAGCGGAGTGCATTTCCATCCGCTCCCTCTCATCCACCCTCTCCTTCCCATTCATCACGAAAAACCGGGTCACAGGGGAAACGTCACGAGCTTTGGAAAGCGCGGCACCATCATTGAGACCACGCCACTGCCCTGCGGCACCTGCTCGATGATGCTCCTCAAAACGGGTTTGGCATGCAACCGCGCGGTGCAATGGCTGCGTTGTGGTAGGAAACACCAGTATTGAAAGCAACACAGGGTGTGGTGACCGGTGGTCATGTGTGTTCATGTTTGTTCATGTTTGTTCATACTCATCCTTGATGACAGGCATGGATAATCGAGGAGATGACTTGAAATCCCAATCCTCACCAGTTTGAGCACCTCTGGAATACGTGTGTTGCATGGTGCCTATCCCAGTGGATCCCAGTTACCACTATAATCCACTATATAAGGAACCAGGGATTCTAAGTTCTAAGTCCGGTTTTAGTCTTTGGAACCACTGGTTACCAGCTATAGTGGTAGCCGGATCCCCAGGGTATGACGTATCCGTATACTCAAGAACCTGTCAACCAGCTGAAGTGAAAGCGGTTTTCTCTTCAACATCATAGCACCTGACAGTCTTGCACTGTTTCAGTCCACTCTTGCGACCCAAAAGTCCTGCTTTACACATCGCCTGTGTATCGAAGCGCCGGACGGAGCGGATCGATGTATCCAATCCATTCCAAGCATCCCATAGGGATCGATCGCTCCGGTATAGCCATTCTTGGTGCATTTCACCAGCGTCTGGCCATTCTCTAAAGCCGCATACCTGCAATGCAAAACAACATGGAATGCATGGGTGATGGCCCAACCTGATCGGCACTAGGAGGTAGCAATGCCCGAAGTGGCTGACAGCTTTGCCAACATCGCTACTGCAAAAACCACCATGAGACTTCAATCATCCGGAACAGTGTCAGCATCGGTGCAACACTGCAACAGGTTATTGAATCGTTCCTCTGACCTCTTCGTTCTCTGCTGACCTCATACCATATGGCTGTGGGTCAAAGCCGGGGAACCCTGGTTGACCACTTGTGCATGAGTCTGGCGCCATGACTAGGTGAACTGGCAGGAATTCGGGGTCCAAGTTTTGACCCACGGCCATATTGACTTTTTGCATATAAATGTGGTGGAGGAAGAGATGATGTCTTCCATCAACATCAGCCCCTCTGAGGTTTGGTGCTATGGGGAAATCTAGGATGGCTTTGGAGTGTCCAACTGAGTTGGCGGTCCCTTAACACTGAAAGACCGAGGATTGCGGTGGAAATTGTTATATAAATGACACAAAACGCCTGCTACCCTCATCCTCAGCCAAAATGCACATCAACTCCAAAATTTCCTTTCTGGAAGAGTACTGTATACATACCAAACTGAACCTCCTTTCAGCAAAGTGCAGCAGCAGGTCCTCCCTTCCTGCCCAACACCGTAACCTTTGGTGGAATCCTCAACAATCTCAAGAGGTGGTTTCTCCCTAGCAGTAGATCGACACATTGTCTCTTGGGTTTCATGAAGTCTTGACTTCAGCGACTCGATGAGTCTTGTAGGGCACCAGGAGTTGGCCGCTGAAACGACTGGTTCACAGTGGTTCGTCGGAAGTGGAATCCATTGGTTCCTCTTTGGCCCCGGGGAGGCCCTAGTCAGGGAGGGCTCTGGGGCATACAGTATACCCAAAACTGCAAGATCACACGCGTTGTGTGTGCCTTTCACTGTGACCTGACCTTCATGTCTGGTCTTCTCCCACATCCATCCACACGCATCCTTTCGCCAACTGGCTGATGGCCCCTCAAATGCTGTCGGCCTGAACGGCAGTTGGTCAGGGCAGGTCTCAGGCTTCAAGGCCTGAAGGGAAAAAACACAGAACGTGGGCACGGTTTCCAGAAAACTTGTGTAAGTCAGTGGGATCAATCATCTGAAGGAAATAAAGGTTGAACATGGTTGAACATCAACATCTCTGAAACCGCCACCCAGTAAATACTTTGGGCACCTTTGGGCTAAGACTCCCCAATACTCATCGCAACTCTCATCGCGTTCGCCAAACTCGCGTCTTCGGCCTATGTTGCTCCAGGTCTGGGAGGTTTCCAAGAGAAGATCCGCGTCCAAGAAGCGGGTCACCGCTGGGAAGTCCGTGTCGAAGCAAATGGTCCCCGTCCTGAGGACACGCGCAGGTCACGTTTCTGGGGTGTTTTGGTTTTGATACGTGCGTTTCTGATCGTTTCTGCATGGGTTCAGTGCTGGAGTTGATGATGGGTCAGGTGGTGTGAACTCCCAGGGTGTTTTTAGGTGTCCCAGTCCCAAGGATTTCAACTCTGTAAGTAACGAAGATCAGAGTCACTAGTTCTGAAGACCAACTTTGGGACCAAGATCTTCCAGAGTGCTTCTGAAAATCCACTCAGGCTCTGGCCTCTCAGGCTCAGGAACTTTGACAAATTTTGGCCTCTAGAACTTTCTTGGTCTCTATCTTTGGAAGATTAATTTTGCGTGTGCTCTGGCAACAACCGGGAACTGGGAGGGTTGACGCAATCTGGGCACAAGCGGCGTGATGCCTTTGCCATGATCTTTTTTCCTGCTGGAACAGTGCTCTCATAAAGGTGAAACACTGAAACAACCTTCGGCTCTTTGCATTAGGAAGAGGGTGCCTCTTCACTGCCCACGCTTGCTAGGCTGCTTTTCATGAATTGGTTCTCCTCGTCCGATAGAGTGATTTCATCATCCTGTCCAATTGATTCGAGACTCAACTCCTTCAACAACTCCTTCAACAACGCTCGATATTTTTTGGCATAGGGGTGCTTGTCGGACTCGGCCATCTCTCGCAGGACAATAGCTTTCTTCAACCACGGTAGCGACTCTTGCTTCTCGTCAAGCTCCATATGTGCCAGGTGCATGCACCAGTATGCCACCGCAAACCATGGTGACTCATGCTTGTAATCATCAATCTTTTTGAATTGATTGATCGACTGTAGAAAGTACTTCTTGGCTTCCTTGAAGTTGTTCTTACTCATCTCAATCATTCCATAGACCCGATACACTTTCCCTACATTGACATGAGAGTGTTTGAGTTCCTTAAATATTGTGTCTGCTTCTTGCACATTCTTCGTGGCCCTTCTGATTCTGGCTTTTCTGGCTTTTGACTCATTATGTAACATAATCATGGCAAGACGGGCGGCCAGGTTGGCATCAAGAAGCAAAACCTCACCGTATAAATAGTTGTCCCTCGTTGCGTCTGGCAATCTTTTGAAACTGACCACAGATAATGACGATGCTTGGAACGCTTGCCTTAATGAAGGCATCTGTTCCAACCGCATCTTTTCCACCTGTGCCTGTTTGCATTCCCTCGGCATGCCAGCTTGTGCATGGAGTGCTTCGGCTTTCTTCAAGGAAAGGCGGGCTTGCACATAATTGTTGTCAGCAAGTGCGCGTTTATAATTCCACCACTGCAAACAAAGGGACATGTCCTCCAAGGCCCGCTGCCAAAGTTCACTTTCTCGACTACCGTCTTGACTATCATCTTCTGAAACCTCTGAAGATTCGGCGTCGGTGTCTGTGCCGTGCTTTGCCGGTTGTGAACAACGTATGCAACGACTTCCCCTAATCTGATTGCATCTTTGGCACAAAGCAAAAGTGCCGCACGTACGACACTTGAGACGCTCTCCGGTAGAGCAAAAGCACCACCAGCATTGTTCATCCACATCGGGCCGAGTCGATGCATCACTGTCATCACTCATTGCGGCTAAAGAAGCTGCAGCTGCAGGAGAGAGTTGATCGGCACTGTGGTTGAAAAGATCGAACCTAGAGTGAACACATGCCTATCGCGATCTATCGAGTCTGCTGCTTCCCTTGCCATCTGTTGCATCTGCAATTTCTCGCTCTGTCTTTTTGAGCCATCGTAAGTTGGGAAGGGGCACAATGGGGCACTAAAGTTGGAGAATCAAAAAAGACACAATCCAAGCAACCAGCTGAACAAAGGCCCCGGGATGCCCCGGGACTTCGTACTGCATGCAGAAAGGCAGTGTAAGGCAGCACCAGCACCTGCAGCAGCACCAGTAAGGGACTCGACAAACATGTAGGAGACCCAGCCTAAACAGGGATTCTAAATGGCCCTCCAGGAAGTTCTCTTTTGAGAGCTCTAAGTCCCCACTGGTCCCCAACCTGCTGGTAACCTGCTACAGGAAACCTCGCACCGTTCCCAGTGCCCGCACTCCCAAACCCACCCCCCGAGCTCCGCCGCCACGTCTCGACCGCCACCGAGCGTCAGAGAGATCTGCTCGGCGTCGGGCCGTCCCAACGCACGAGGCGCGGTGACCGTGGGCCGCGACGTGCCCGGCGACAAATCGGACTCCACGAAGGGCACCTGGGGTAGAAGCGCAGTGTCACGTGCGCCCATGGGATGGGGTGAGAGTTTATCGGGACCTTTGGATGACATGATGATGACGTCACAAAAAATATAAGAAAACAATGAGCGGAGGATGTGGAATGGGGGATGATTGGGGTATGATTGGGGTATGAAATGAAGTTCATCGTTCTTAGCCTACAGCTTTCGAGCTCCTCCTGCGGCTGAGCAGCTGGATGATTCTTGGCATAGCTCATCACCGAACCCTCTCTGGTGACCAAGTGATACCACGACCTAGGCCAAACAACACCGGCACAAGAAACACCCTTTTTCCACTGTGACACTCGGAGCTCAACGACAGTTCGGGTCCAAGTTGGTTATCCTGGAAATTGACGCTGCGGTCGCAGTCCTTGAAAAACTATACGGCTTGTCATCCGTCTATGGGTGTGTAGCCCAAATAGGCAAACCATCCCAGGCAACGACCCCCTGGAAGAAGGAACATAGACCAACACGCTTGGTAGGGGGATCTCCCGGATTCAAAATAGACACCCAATGTGTCGCCGCCTTTCTCCATCTACCATCCATTGACTGTGATTCCACGGAGTCACGAAAGGCCTGGGACCCGGTGTCTCGTTGAGCAAGACTTACTAAAACGAAACGAGGCAAATCATTTATGTGGCTATGCCATGCAAACACCGCATATGCTGGATGAATACCATTTAACATCAAATTTGGCCCATACCTGGGCTCCAAGCTTGCCGTCATCCTCGAAGGACAGCACTATCACTGCCTGGCCATCAAACAATTCGTAAGTTCGACATGTTTCGGTGTTCCACTGCTCAGACTGCTGGTGATACTGCACTGATACATGCTAACACTCTAGCTACCTCGCAGTTGCTTATTTTTTAAAGCAAAAAACAGCGGTCCACATGAGACTGACCTATATTTAAAAATATATATATATATTTATTTATTTATACTGCATTATATTATATAGCTAACCTTGTAATTCTATGTACTTCTTGCCATGTGACGGGTTTGTGAAAAGATGTCTCACGTCGATCCAGGGTGCAAACACCTGTCAGAGATTTCAAACGGGCCTCAATCTGAGTCTTGTTGAAGTGCTGCTCAAGGAGGTGTTGATATCCTCAACAAAAACAAAACTCCTTGAACGGAATGGCAGCCGCAAGGATGTTCAACTGGGTGGTTCCTATACAATACAACTCCTGTAAACAAACATGATGATCGGACTTGAACAAAAACATTAAAAACACACAAACACATTCCTGGGATGTCCTGGGCATGATTCATGAAAAAACATGATCCAAGAACCGTAACTGCTGCCTGGGTGGATCTCAGGCACACCTTCCCTCCAAAAAGAATCCCTTGAAAACTCCTGGTGCACCCTGCAATCTGCAAGGAAGTAACTAGATGGATCTCCCAATCAGCCCTTCTGCAGGATTCGGTCTATCAGGTGCCCTGAGATCCCAGCTTGTTGAAGCAAGGTTAGTTCATCAAACTCTGGGGGTTGGTGAAGAACAGGATCATCTAGTTTTTTAACAATGAGATGCACAGTTGCCTCAATACGTTTTAGAGTTTTAAACATCGTCTTGTAGTCTTAACTCACAAACATCATGCCCCCTGGGAGTACACCAATCAAGCTGACACTTGTCACAAGTTTCTCGAATTGACGCATCACTGGAACTGGCCATTTCCACCACATAATGACCCACCCCGACTCCTTCGGATTTTGGGGCCCCATAAGTCCTGTGTACCAAGCCACGCGGCACCGGTGCGTCCAAGCCCGTCTCGGCATCGGTGAGCCGCTCGCTGTGCATCACGATGGCATCTCCCGCCGCCAGGCGCGCGGCGGTGGTGGCCTCAGACGGACCGGCCGTGGTGAGCCTCACAGCGTTGGATTTCTGGGACCACTGACAGAAGTGGCAACAAGTGTGCAACTGTTAGATCTTCTAATCCGACATTGATGTTCTACATCTTATTCCGGATTGATGGCAACAAGTGTGCAATGTGCAACTTTTAGACCTTTGCTCATCCGACATTGATATGTGACTTCACATTCCGGACCAAACGTCCACGACACGGTGCCACCCTGCGCCACCCCGTCTCAACCCCCGTGTCTCAACCGCGGTCGGTCGGGTGGCGTAGAGGTTGTCCATGCTGCTGAGGCAGCTCACGTGGAGGAAATCCCGGACCGCGCCGCCGGGCGAGACGAAGTCCCGATCGATGGAGATCGTGGGCACCTCGGTGGGAGGGGGTGCGAGGGGCCCCGGTGGGGGCCCAGCCAGCGAGTGCTGCAGGGGTGGTTTGGTGACCTAACGCTTGGGGCCTGGTCGAGTGAAGCCTTCGGCATCCCGTGAGAGGTGGGGGGGATGCATGCCTTTTTTTGAAGATAGAAGTCCAACAAAACGTGTTGAACTGCTCCTTTTTGCTAGACTTCCTGATCTCCATTCACCAGCTCAACCAGTGATCTCCAAGAACAGTCTCGACTACTCTATTCGCCAAGTTCAGCTCAGATCGCTACTCGAACATGTACCCCTCCAATACAACAGGAGACAGCAAAGTAAATAACAAAGTTCGTCAGCTTTTGCAAAAAAGGGGAATGGAATGGAATGGATGGGAAAGGTTCTCTGCCACTTCTTGCACAGCGACGTAGAATCTGATGCCGCCAGCAATGCAAACAATGAAGAGGCTGGCGAGCGCTGCCTCCGAAATCGCCAAAATGTTGGCGAGGTGAGAGTTGCATTTGCTGCCCTTGAATATAAAGGCGTGTTGGACAATTGGATGACACTTCTTGGGTTGCAATAGATCTAAGTAAACCTCAGGTACAAGAAGTCTTCGAGGTTGGAGAAAAGAAAGCGGATTCCAAGGCCTTCCAGTGTTTCATCAGATTCCTTGTGGTGCATCGTCGTGATGTTTTAGACACAGAACAAAAGAACAACACTTACAGTGGGTTGAGAGTAGATTGCACAATCCCCAAGGTCACTGGTTTATATGGACCCCTGCAAAGATTTTAGACATCTTGGGGTGGGTTTGTGCCATCTACTCTCCATCCACGGTACTTTTCTTGGTGGGGGTGGATGTTTAGGGGCCTTGAGAATTGTTGACCTCTTCGGAAGGCTGTTGAGACATGCTCCTGAGAGGCTCACTACAATTCACCTCACACCTCACAGCTTGGATTGGTCACTGCTCTATTCATCAATGGCCTTCGAACACAAAGAATAGCTTTCTGAATAATTATATTGTCAATTTACATATTATATCATATATTATCATATAGAGTATATTTTTCAATTATTGAGGTTTTCCCATGCAAACTGCACAGCCAAACCCCAATCTTCCCCATTCCCCACCTTCGATCCCGAGGTCCCCGCCTTGAAGCCTGGGCCATGGGAGCTTGCCCAGCGATGAGCTCCGGAGGCAGCGACCCAGCTCTGGCGCAAGCGATCAGGTTGGGATTTGGGGCGGGTGAGGGTTGACGTTGCACCAAACCTCTGATACATCAAAAAGATATATATATATATACATATTATATCCAAAGCATGTGTGTTACATCAACTTACCCTGGTTTGAGGGTTTTGAGGTTGCACCAAAAGTGGCTGTAACTTCCAAAGCTCCTTGAGCACCCTGGGAAAACGTCCTTGAGCACCCTGGGATGGAAGAACGTCTTCCAATGGGCCATCAGTTTTCTATCTGCTGGAGTATCATACTATCATCAATTGAAGTGGAGAAGATGTATTTGCAGAGTGACTTTGGGCTTCTCGTCAATGGGCAGTCAGGGACATTCTAAGGATAGTCCTTTCTCCGCTTTCTCCTCATAATACGTATAGGTTTAACAGGTGGGCCACCGATGTCTCTTACATGAGGAGCGCAAACCGTGCTTGTCTGCATAGCAACACATCACCATTGGACATCGATGACTTGCTGTCTTCATATGTTGGAGCAACACTTGATATGTTTGGATGCACAATGCACAACTATGCTAAACTACGCTATTGTTTGCTGGTATCATCTCAGCCAGGGAGACTATGTCAGGACCGTCCAGCGGTGCTTGCTGTTGTCTTTACTTTGACCCACTAGTCCAACGAGCGGCAAACTCTTGACTTGACGTGTTCTTCCACATGTCCTTTCTTCCCAACAGCACAATGAAAAAGAACAAACATACGCAAGGGCATGAAGAGATCTACCAAACACAAGTTCCAAGCATGATGTCATTGTTCCAGCCGCGGCTCCAAACCTGACTTGTCTACACTGTCCCTAGTCAGTACTTGTACGTACTTGTACTATGAATCTGGCTGCTCTGACAGTACTATAAAACATCTATATAACACCCACTCAACGCAAACAACCAACAGTCCCGATTCCCACCAGCACGAAAGTCACAGCGCTGCGCCCCAACCAGGCGCTGCACCTCGGATCTACAGCAAACACCCCCACCTACTGACTTGCTTCTGCTAAAGGTGAAGGTGAAGGTGAAGGTTTCTTGATTTTTTTGAGATCATGGCTCATTGTATTGACAATGCCCGTTCTTGGGGGGCGGCATGGATGTCCCTAAGAATCTGTTGGTCTTCTGGCCAGGGGCTGCTCTCTATTGCAGGGCCCGAATTCCACCCAGCCCCTGGGTTACGTCCCCTTACAGTATATAATATAGCGGATTCATTGGTCTTTGGAAACACAGGCTACCTCGACCAGGTGGCAATTGGGTGCACTGGGTTGCAACGCAAAGTCTCCTTTGTGAACCCCTATACACTTGGAGCTTGGCAAACTCTTTGAGTCCTCAGATCTTTCGCCTCTTACGGCGAAAGAATAGTCGTAAGTCCTGGCCATTTCTGGTGCTTCCATCAACCCCCGGCCGCCCACCTCCTCCAGTTGGCTCACTTGGTGGAGCCAGCAGTGAGCCACTTGGGAAGCTGGGAAACTGCGTGGCCTGATCTCGGGACCAATATTGGGATCAACTAAGGTTTGAACAACCCCAAGCACTTCCCAGCAACCCTTCCATTTGAGCTGGGAGACTGCGTCAGCATGAGCCACTGCCCTGCCACATCATATGCAGGGCTTGAAAAGGAGCCAACGGGCAGAACTAATGATGACAATGTCCACAAAGCCTCATGACGCTGCACGCGGGAAGAGGGATCTGCGCTCTTGACAAACTTCCAAGGGAAATCTCTGGAAGATATTCTAGAGAGAAGCCAGCATAGGCATGCCACCACACTGGCATACGTTGTTGGAGTCCGAATATACTTGCGTTATCCATCCTATAGAATTAGAATGCATGTGACACTTGCTGTCATAGGAGTAGTCAATGCTTTTGTAGATAGTAACACAAGGAAACACAAAAGGCAAACAGGTTCTAGGGATGTCATGTTGTCTTCTTTAATCTAGAAAAAGTAAAACCATGGTTTACCTCCGTGGCAAGGCCTGCAGATCCTGGACTTTCAATGGGACACTTGGATCGCTATTTGGGAGCGGCTTCCCACTTCGATGTTGGTGACCAAAAAGACTCTGTAGGCAATCCTGTATACCTACGACATCCAACATGGTTGAAATTTACGTCTTTTCAAGAA